CTCATCTCCAAAATAAGTGTAACTAGACCGGACTCTTTTTCCCATGCACACTGCTAGCTTGACGTTCTGCCAAAAATATCCCCTGATTTTCCTTTTAAATATTCTTCTAAAGGAGCTAATGAAATGAATCTTTCTTTTTGAGACACCCTGCGTCTGGCGCCATGCTATATCGGCCAGTTGGCTTTGTCCCGTGTTAGTACACACACTAGCAGATTAATACTTCCAGTAGTTCTAGAAGTTCTCGTGCCAAGAGCCGTAAATCACCGCAGTCATGGGTATTCAGGGAATGGAGCTGTTTGCCATCGGAGTGGTGATCATTCTGTTCGTGGCTGTTCTCAAACAGTTCGGCATTCTGGAGCCCATGTCGTTTGAAGGTAAGGAGCATTCTAGAACTGAGGTCCTCCCCTTTGTTGTCATGGTGATATGCTTCACCAATGGGGCCCGTGGGGCCGGGGTTGCGTCGGGTACATCTTGAAGATAGGGATAACAAATCTGATGATTCTTTTCTAGTAATGTTGTGATGTTTGTGTTCAGGTGAAGGAAAGGTATTGCACTTTAACAATACTTTTGAAAGCAGTAATACACTGTTCCTGTTGAGTTTTAGATGCTTGTGAGTTTTGAAGGTCATTGGTGGGAGAAAGTATGAAGTGTTTATCGCAATGTTTGCTGTACTGTACACAGACGTAAATGCAACATATACATCTCACACCAAGTGTTACCGTGGGACTGCAGCACCGGGATAGTGTGGGACAAAATTGTCCTTCGAAATTTAAAATCTGGCACAACCTCCTTTTGGGGATGATCTTAAAAGTAAAAAAATAAATCATAAATAGAGTAAATAATATATTTCTATTAATTCTAAAAAGGAGTAATCATAATTTGTTTATATATTATTTGCCAATTATACCTTTTAATTAGCTTATTGTTTTTTTTATAAACCAATTGAAGGCTATTTGTATGTCCTCATTTAAATGAGCAGTTTACATGAAATAGAAGTGAAATCAATTTAACATGCTATATTCCATCTGATATGAAATTAAGCTGACATGCTATACTCCATCTAAAAGTATTAGCTACAGCATTTTGTCATAATTATTATGATTGCTGCTTTTATCACCTTATTAATTAGGAGATTAAATGCAAAATCTGAACTAAATGTTACACTAAAAAAGGTGATCAAAATCAGTTGATTTTTTTTTTAAAGTTCATGGACTTACTGTATAACTACCTAAATAGCTGATTATACCTGTGTGGGTGTGTCTGTTATTAATGTTATAGGACATTTTTTTTTATTGTTTAGGTTTATGGTGTGCTAGTATGTGATTTGTTTTGAACAAACAGCGCATCCAGATTTTTATTTTCCTCATTCTTAAAGACAAGTAACTTATTGAGAACGTTATATTGGTGTCAGAAATACTGCATTCTCTCTCTCTCTTTCTCTCACACACACACACACACACACTTTCTCTCTTTGAATCAAAACCCAGTCTAACATTACCCTTCATTCATTATGTATGCTGTATTGAACAGGCTTTCTTTACGGCTACCTAAAAATGGGTCCGCTGGTCTCTGTACTGGGTCCTGAAGGGCACGGTCCATTTCCCTCTCACCCCTCACTTCATCACAAGATCATATCCGCCAATCATTTCTGAAAGTACAGATCAGAGTCAGCACCTTCATATAGACGCACTTCCTCTGGAGTCACAAACTTGAGATTGGAGATATTTGTATTTTCTCCACTGTTCTCCACACTTCGTCTGCGGTCTGGTGGACGTGCCCTGTGTCGTGTCGCATCTTTGTTGTCTCAAATTACTTACTATCAAGACATTAAGAGTCATGTGACAATTGGCCTGCAACGATGTGGAATACTTGGCATCTGTGTGCTGTTTTGTACATTCATATTCTTGCTTGATTCATCTGGTTGTATTTTTGTTCAGTTTTCCTTAAATGGTCTCAACATTAATGTCTCTTCTGTTTGACTTTCAGGAACAGAGGTGATTGGTCATTGTTATTAATGAGAATCAATCTAAAACTATCAGTTATTTTCTTCATTAAAAGTATTACAAATGAAAAGAATGGCATTATTGAAATGTGCTTTGAGCTGCACTTTTGATTAAAGTCATGAACAATGCAGTCTTATCAATATCCTGATAAAAATAAAACTTCATAGAGTCATGCATATTTTTGCAATAATTATTTTAATCACTTTGAGTGGCCTAAGCTGCTCTTAGGTTTTCTCTACACTGCAAAAAAAATGATTTTCTTACTTATAATTATTATTAGAATCTTTGTCTTGTTTTCTAGTATAGATATCTAATATGAATCAAGTCGTTTTACTTAAATGACTTAAGGTGTTAAGTATTGTTTTCTACAAAGCATTATCAACATTTTGTTAGTTTTTGCTTAAAAAGCAAAAAGAAATTCTGCCAATGGGGTAAGAAAAATAATCTTAATTCAAAGGCTCTTTTTTTTTTTTTTTTTTTTTTTTCAGAAAACAAGACATAACATCTTAAGTCATTTTACTTTTAAAATAAATGCATCTTGATTCAAGAATTTTTTGATATTTATACTACAAAACAAGACAAAAATACTAAGTAAGAAAATAATTTTTTGCAGTGTGAACCATATTTGGCTGGCCTGGTTTGTGTATTTTTATGATGCTTTGACTACTTGTCAGCTGTCAGACTGGGAAATCAGGGTAGACCAGATAAAACCACCTAAGACCAGCAGTTTTAAGGTTGGTTTACTCAGTTTTTTTCAGCAAGGATATACGGTATAGGTGCTAACAGTATAGGCATAACACATCAGCTATTATAACCGACAGTTATGCAAATAAACACTTGATCATCTGGAAGGGTCTGAGTGCCTCCTGTAATCTATACGTAAATCTTCTTCCAGTATTGGCCACCCAGCGGATCAGCAGGGGACTATTTTTAGCTCAGTGGCATCACTTACTACATCTCTGTCTATTCCTGAGAGCCGTGTTTCAGGAGGGTGAAGTTTATTTTGGGCTTCTGCTTGTGTGAATCTAATACGTAATCAGAGACGCTGAAGTTTTACTTTTGAAGGGAAGCGTGCGTAATGATCAATATGTGCCCGGCTCTGTTGCATGAGAGGCATTTGATCTGTCAACTATTATTTTGTTCAACTTGCATGTTTGTGCTCATAGTATAATACAAATTGTCTACTGTGGTGCACCGCAGACGTGAAGCATCAGCCACCAGAGGGCAATGTTTCTTTATGATCTCAAACCTGGGTGATGGGCTCGCGAGGAACCAATGGGTGAAGTTTTGGCTGGTTAGCATGATTAGACATTCTGGTTCTAAAAAAGCATTTCTCTGTTGACAGCCAGTGGGATTTTAGGGATCACAAATTGCAGCATTGTCTCCTGCTTCATCATAAAAGGAATATGTATTATTCAAAAGTTGTTGTTTTTTTGCAAGAAATTAATACTTCTATTAAGCACACTTGCAATAAATTGGTCAAAAATTACAGTAAAGACATTTGTGGTGTTATATATGATATCTATTTCAAATAAATGCTCCCTTTGAACTTTCTATTAATTAAAGAATCACAAAGAAAAATTAATTAAATAATAAAAAAATAAATGTTGTCACTGTTTACACAAAAATATTAAGCAGCACAACCGTTTTCATTGATAATAATACAATTTTACTTGAGCAGCAAATCATCATATTCGAATGATTTCTGAAAGATCATGTGACACTGAAGACTGGAATAATGATGCTGAAAATTCAGCTTTGAATCACAGAAATAAATTATATTTTAAAATATGTTCAAACAGAAAACAGCTATTTTAAATTAGAGTAAAATTTCACAATATTGCTATTTTTACTGTATTTTTGATCACATAAATGCAGCCTTGGTGAACATAAGAGACTTCTTTCAAAACTATTTTTAAAAATCCTACAGACCCCAACCTTTTGAACAGTAGTGTATATCAATTCATTATTATTATAAAATGCATTATTTTGTAAAATTGAATCATTTTAATTTGTGAATTAGTTTTTTGTTTTTTAATTTTCATACTTATTGCCACTTCAAGGGCCAAGTTCAAGACCCATTTGGATCATATTTGCACTCTAATACTAAAGATTTATTGAACTTTGGCCTGTAAAATACATTTGTACTTATGTAAACTGTAAACATCAGTCGTACTTTTGTTAGCATCGTTAGGATCAATCCCCTTTGAAAACTCTTCAATTCTTCGGTGCTAATGGTTTTTGGCTGTCATAAATCTGTTGTGCATGACAAAATCTAAAGGATCACTCTTGGCAAGAGAGCACTGAATAACAATGCTGCCAGTAAGAGGATAAATGAAGAACAGTCTCTGTAGATCACTGTCATATCACAAAGGCTGAAATACAGAGAGAACAATTAGTCGTGGGAAACTGGTTCACAAGACAAGGGAAGCAGGATTTAGGGCACCTTGTGATTGTGCATCTGTTCCAACAACTTCAAATATTAAATGTCCATTCCAGACCAATCAAAGGCATAAAAACGTTTTACTTTCGTCAGGGAAGCTTCTTATGAACTGCATTCCTGAGGACCAAAATTTCTGTACTACAAAACGTAATGGTTTGCTGCGTTGACTCAGGTGGGACAAGGTGTCTGTTTTTTATCATCATGTCAAAGTTCAAGATTCATGTTGGGGTTGTGTCTAAATCTAATTGGGACAACCTTGTCTCCTGAGTGGGAGTTTTCTCAATTCCCTTTGAAAATTGTGTCAGAGTGAACTTTTAAATAGATGTGAGAAGAATAGAGGAATGAGAGAGGAGAGTTACCAGCGTATATCTGGACTCCAAAGTCATTTTGGACACAAGGCTAAGACAAGATGACATCAACATAAGATGTTTTTGGGGAGTTTTTCGAAAAGTGTAACAGATGTTTCTCGAAACAGGACATCTGCCCATTTTTCTACCTCAATTACGTTATCGGCTTTCTAGGATACTTATGTTTCATTTATGAAGCTTGTGGAATTAACTGGACTGAGCTGGAAGAACAAGACGCGTTGAGGGACAGAGTGTCAGGATGAGTGTGAGATGGGAGACAGAGGGGTTACAGACCGTGGGCATCGTCTGCCTGGTCATCATGTTTCTCAAACTCATGCATCTGCTTGGACTCATAGACATAACTGAGACAGGTGAGAGAAAGAGAGAGAAACTAGCAAACATCATTCCAGGGGTTGCTTAGATGTTATAGCCTACTTGTCTTATATTTACATGACCTTAACACTGTACAAGCTTTTTTTGACAGCATCCGTGACATTTCAGTCCAAATATCTAATCTTCCTTAAAATAAAATAAATGTATTTGAGAGGCAAATTTGCATAAAATATTCAGAGAATTTATGCTGAATTTAGTTGATTTTTTTTCCAATAAAAATATTTTTTCTTGTTATAAGCATAAAACTCACTAATGTTTGCTAGATTGAAGTTCAAAAGTTAATGTTTTAATGAAATGTAATTGTAATTTAATTTCTTATTAATACTATACAAATATTGTCTTTTTGTCATATACAGTTTTTGCTTCTTAAATACAATTGTGTTGTATTAAGGATGTTTAGATATTTCTTTTTCTTTACTGGAAAACAAGTTTTGTTTAGCTGTTTGTTATTTTTCCATGTGTAGCAACCAACAGCATTCCAGATGGACTGTGTTTAACCTGGAAAATTCCTTTTTATTTCCATTTTTGAGGGATTTTCCAGTTCTTTAAGCTTTCAATGTCTGTTTAGAAATAGGTAACTTTTGTTCCCTAAAGCTTCACAGGGTTATTTGCTCTTCTTTTACATTATTTATAAACTATTATAGTATTTATGAATATTTTCAATTATTTTAATATTTTCCATTTAAATTTTTAGTCATTTTGTTTTGTGCTTTTGTCATATATATATATATATATATATATATAATTTTTTTTAATTTTTAAAAAAAATAATTTTAGTACTTCTACTTAAATTTAGTTTATTTCTGTTAGTTGCCAAAGAAGTTTTTCATCTAATATTTATATTTTATATTATTTCAGCTTTATTTCAATTAACATGATTAACTGAAGTAGTAAATAGTTTTAGTTAACAATAACAACACTGATTGTTTGATACAGTTTCTCTTCTTCCGTCCACCTTTTTTTTTCTTTTTAGTGATTGCTCTATTTTTTGTGGCTTTTTTGACTTGACAGTTTGTCTCTTTTTTTTCTCCTTTCACTCTCTCTGACCCTTTCTGTCCTTCTCGTTCCTCCCTATCTCACTTTTTATCTGTTTTTGTAAAGACGGTGAGTGTAAGCACCTGTCTAGTTTAGTCTCTTTTCTTTGTTATTCGGTCTATCTCCTTTTCTTTTTGTGGGATGCTTTCTTCATTATGTGATTGACTATACTAGCTCATATCCAAACACTAGCAGAGTTTAGAAGAAATACTGAATTCCACCAATTAGAATTGCTGAAGCCTAACAGTAAGGAAACCCTCAAATTAGTCATTCACATTGACACCAACAGTCAGTCACATTGAAAGAGAAAGAGTCACCCTGTCTATCAAACCTCCATTTCTTTCTCTTTCCTCTTCCTGCACATCTTTGACTTTTATGCTAACTCTTTTGCTTTTACTCCCCTTTTTCTTCCTCTTTCTCTCCTCGCAACCGCTGTCTCCCTCTTTGAAATGCTCTCTCACCCCATCCCGTCCTGCATCCCATCAACTCACCCCCTTCCCGACCCCTTCCCCCTCTATCTCTCTACTTTCCCCCTCTTCCTCTCTCTTTTTTTGCTCTTTCTCTCCCATAGACAGCAGTGACAGTGACCTCGAGCTGTCCACGGTTCGACATCAGCCCGAGGGTCTGGAGCAGCTGCAGGCTCAGACCAAATTCACCAAGAAGGAGCTGCAGTCCCTTTATAGGGGCTTCAAAAACGTGAGTATCTGTTGAAGACGGGGGACAAATAAGGATTAAAGTTGAGTTAATGTTTGTGCTCAGTTGTTTTCTTTTTTGTGGTGGGTCAAATATCGAGACTGTATGTTGCAGAGTAAGAATTTGGTATTTTTGCTACAGTTTTAAAAGAAAGAAATGAATGATATGAAAAAAGTTTTATGCTGAGCATTAAATCTGAAATTTAACTTCAAACAGAACTGCAGAAAGATAGATTTTTTACTTCATTTTTTTACATTTAACCATTAGACTCACCAACACAGTTTCCAGAGTATTCTGGATGGCTGCTAGATGGTTTCTTACTGATCCATCAGCTCAAAAGCGCCCAGTTCTCTGATATTCTGGTCCCTTGATATGACTCACTTAACATAAGTCTCTTTTTTCAACCATTTTATTGTCCACCAGGTGAAAACTCAACCCAATTGCAAACAGTAGTAGTATTTTAATTATTGTACTATACAGTTACTATACTATACAGAGCTTTGGGGTTGAAAATGTTGTTCTTTCTGTTTGTATCAGCAGATGTGTATATAGGACAGAAAATGAGCACATTGCACTTATTTAAAACCTTCACGAGCTGCCGATGTGGCACAGTGAGAATTAGTCCATTATCTGTTTAATTAAATGTTTAATTAGATGTGCCTCTCTTTCCATTTAAGGAGTGCCCAAGTGGTTTGGTTGATGAGGAAACTTTCAAGACCATCTACTCTCAATTCTTTCCCCAAGGGGGTAAATACACATGTTTTTCACTAAATCAGTAAATGTGTTCATTGGTTTTGCATGAATTGTGATTTGGGACTAATTGGACTAATTAGTCTGTTGTTCTTACTGGTCTATTTGTTGTTATTTCCTCAGATGCCACCACATACGCCCACTTCTTGTTTAATGCGTTTGATCTTGATAGAAATGGCTCAATTCGTTTTGAGGTGAGAATATCCTTAATCACAGCTTTTTTTTATCACCCTCATTTTGTCATTGTCTTCATTGTCTACTCTCTGCTCTCTGTGACAGGACTTTGTGATTGGTCTGTCTGTGTTGTTGAGAGGATCTGTCACTGAAAAGCTCAACTGGGCTTTCAACCTTTATGACATCAACAAGGATGGATACATCACTAAAGAGGTTCTTGTTAAACCTTTATGTTCTAATGCACCAGAGGCTCCTTCACTGACTCTTGTAAAGCAGACTCAAATCGTAATAAGTGTGGTGTGTGTGTGTGTGTGTGTGTGTGTGTGTAGGAGATGCTGTTAATCATGAAGTCAATCTACGACATGATGGGCAGGTACACTTACCCCTGTGTGCGAGATGAAGCTCCATCTGAACATGTGGAAAAGTTCTTCCAGGTATCAGTAACAAACACATTTATATGAAGACTCAAAAACAATCATACCAGAGTATTAAGATCTTCTACACTTACTACATTTTCTTATAGAAAATGGACAGAAATCGAGATGGTGTGGTCACTATTGAGGAGTTTATTGAGACCTGTCAGAAAGTAAGTTGAAATTAGTGTTTACTCACAAATTTCGGTGTAAATGGTTTGAAAAAACATTCTTGAATAAATTATTGCATTCAATTCAATGTAAAAATGTATATGTATTGTTTGTAAGAAACATTCTTTAAATTATCATATTCCATGTGAAAATTGCATAAATAGTTAAAAAACAAATAAAATGTTGTTCACTTTTTGTGAAAATTTACAAGAATTACTCATAAAATGCATATGTATCACCTTCAGTTTAATGCAGTCTTAAATACATTAATATAACTATTTTTATGTTAATTATCACATTTAATTCAATAAAAAAGTTAATAGTTTGTAAAAAAAAAAACATAGTTAGTTACATAAATTATCACTTACAATGCAAACATTTACATGAACTGTTCTTAAAATCATTCTTCTGTAAATCATTACATTTAATTCAGTGCAAAAATGTACAAATAGTTTGTGAAACCATTTTTATGGAAATTATCACATTTAATTGAATGTCCAAATTACATAAATAGAAATAAATCCATCGTTATGTACATGATCAAATTCAGTCCAATGTGAAAATGTATGGAAATTACTTTTTCCAATTACTTATATTTTCATATGTAAATTTTTGCACTATTTAATAAAAAATTTAAGTAAAATGTATAGCCATTTTTAAATAATCACATTGTATTTAATGCAAAAATAAATGTAAATAGTTTGTAAAGCCATAATTTATTGCAATAATTTCAAATGTGAATATAGTTCATAAAACCATTTTTACATAAATGATCACAGCCATGTTCTTAAAATCATTCTTATTTAAATCTTATTTAAATCTATATAAATAATTCATTTAAAAAATTACGTAAACATTCAGTTCAAATGTGAAAGTTTGTGTATGGTTCATAAAACAACATTTGACTTTTTCATACCATATTTGAACTGAACATGACCGTGAATGAGATTTAATAACTATGCGAAAGCAAACTGTCTCTTTAAGGTTGATAAAGAGCCATAATTGATTCCTCTTCTGCTTTCCAGGACGAAAACATCATGAACTCCATGCAGCTCTTTGAAAATGTGATTTAGGACAGGAGTGGAGCGATCTAAAGCTAAAACAGCCCTCAATGTCCCAATCCAGTTCTCTCCACATGTCTATATACCAAACTAGCACAGCAGTCACTCTCTGTCTTGTCCTGTAGCACTACTCTCATGCCTGCTGCACTCCGTAGAATCGTATAGACCAACACTTAGCCTACAGTATGGCATCACAGTTTGTACTTCACAGCAGGACTACTTTTAAAAAGAAAAGCCTGGACGGTCGGGATCCTTCCAGTTGCTAAATACCGGCAACCGTGTGGTGGAACTTTCTGATCTGAATAAACAAATGACGTAGCATAGCCACGTTTTGTATCACTGGTTGATGGATTCCCATGGGCTCTCTGACGTCCATATAAAAACCATCACCACTCTGGACTGCTTTCTTCTGCCTTACGAATGAGGGACGTTACAAGACTCAATCTCAACTTTCCAGATACCATAGTTTGAAGGAGAGTACAGTAACTATGGATTTCAAGGGACCCAAAGGAGCGTCTAGCACCAATGACGATTTGAAGCACACCGCATAATACTCACCAAAAGAACAAGATTAATGTGATGAAAACCAACCTGAAGCATGCCTGTCCAAATATGTGAGATATTTGTGATTTTCTTGCATGGAGACTGACAAAGTTGTACATTTTCTTCCTTGTAAGCCAGTAGGTCCCACAGAAGACTGTAAGCAAACTAAAGCAACTGTATGCGTGAAGTTACATAGTGTACCAGTGTTTATAAGTTCTGTATTGCACATATCAGTGGGGCCAGGATGATTTGTTTGGTCAAATTTGATTCTTGCACAGCAATGGGGTATATTAAAAGTTATATATACAGTGTAGGCATTTTAGAAGTATAGAAGTATGTGTTTTATTTTCAGGAATGTATTTATTTGTCAGGCGGCGTCTAATGGAATGCAGGGTTCGGGCATGAACGGACATGTCCTGGTTATTATTTATTATTATGCTCATTTAAAAAAAGAAATCATTTTTGCTATATATATATATATATATATATATTTGAAACAGACTGAGATATATACTGTACGAGAGGCTTGTTTATCTTTATTTTTTGCTTTCGCCCACATGGTTTGTAAAGGTTACATATTATTTCATTAAGTACAGTACACAATGGGCAATCTTGGGAATCTCCTTGTTATATGACAGTTGTATTATCAGGAATATGGATATATATTTTGCTCTTACGCAACAATCCCCTTTTATTTGGGGATGGTGGGAAACTATTGCTCATCTATGAAGGAACAAATACTATGATGAAGGTGAAGTTAAAGATTCAAAAGTCAGTTTTCAGTTCACTTTCAGTAGCAACACCTAAATTATACCTAAAAGCTCTTATTTATTTATTCTTTGTTTATTTGGTTGGAGCAGTTTAATGTAGATCCAATGAATAAAAGATGCACTACTCTTGATCAAAACCAGTGTGTTTCTGTTAATGTTATGGTTTTTATCAGTGTTGGGGGTATCGCATTACAAACGCATTTCTGTAATGTAAACAGAATAATTTTCTAAGTAACTGGTAAAGTAATGCATTACTTTTCAGTGGTTCTCAACCAGAGGACTGGAGCAAAGTAATAATTTTTTAAAAATTTAAAACTTTAAAATTAGAATGAAACCAAAAAATATAAAAAAATAAAATCAAATTTAAAATATTAGCAAAAACTAAAATTCTATATCAGTTATATTAAAATAACACTGCTTAAAAGTATTTAACATAATAAATTGTTAGTATTACTGATATTACTGAAATTATAATATTAAATGAATAATGAATATTTTAAAATAATCAAAAATTTTATTTAAAAAAAAAAAGATCTTCGAATATTGTGCTGGAAGTTTGACAGCCATTGATTGACAGTAAGTGCTTTGCTTGAAACAGGCCACTCTTAAAGTGTGTGTGTACCTGTTTTTCTATTCTGGTGGGGACTTAAACCTGAATACACACAGACTCATGGGGACTCGTGTCACGGTGGGGACCTAAATTGAGGTCCCCACGGGTAAACAAGCTAATAAATCACACAGAATGAAGTTTTTTGAAAATCTAAAAATGCACAAAGTTTCCTGTGAGGGGTAGGGTTGGTGTAGGGCAATAAAAAATACGGTCTGTAGAAAAACCATTACGCCTATGGAGAGTCCCCACAAGGACAGCTGACCAGACGTGTGTGTGTGTGTGTGTGTGTGTGTGAGAATAGAGATCAGAAAGGTGCCAGTTATTATAAGACAAATCCCATGTATGACACAAATACAAACAGGAAAAGGGAAAACAATTTGCACCTTAACACAGTGATCTGAAACTAAATATCTGTGGGTATGACTGTGAATGTGTTTACATAGAATATCATGTCCTTGCAGAAATGCTTATCCCCATTTGCTATGTTTATGGAAGTCTGTGTGTGATCTGGTTCATGCTGGAGACACGTCTCCATTTTGTTTGCTTTGGGTGTCTGACTAGGGAATATAATCTTTTCTAATCTCTGTACTCTTCACCTTACTCTCATGTATCATTTCTATTGGTTGTGGTTCATCTTCACATTTCCCATAACATCTTCCATCTCTGATTTCTATCTTATCACAGCTTCTGTGTGATTCCCTGAAATGTCAGGTAAAAGAACAAAGTTTTAAACCATGTAAAATCTGAGTGAGGCCGATAGACCCACTAACCTACATCCCTCAATTAGCACCATAGATTAGCTACTGATTCAGGACATGAGCTCTTAAATAAGCAGGAAGAAGAGAAGTCAACACTGTCTAGTACTTGTTCATGTATTATGAAAGCACTACAGCTAACTAGGATTATTTCTCCAATCTGTTCAGGTCTGCCTTTCACCTGATTCTATTTCCAGGAGTGACATCACTTCCTGTGTGCGTTTCTGACCAGAAATACATTTACTGATTCATGCCACTTATAGTTTAAGTGCAGATATTAAATTACGGAAGACGCAATCGACGTATGTTGTGTTGTCCTGTGTCATCGTGAATGTATGATGAATTTGTTAAAAAAAACGGGGAATATTTAATCGAGAAAATCATTTAGATTTTAACGTAGAAATTTAGAGAATGTAGAAATACTGTGTATTTCATATCAAATGTACAGTCAGTAAATATACAGAAAACAATTGATTAAATGAGCAAATACAGAGTGTAGTTTTAAGAGAGGCGGGGCATAGAGGACTTACAATAATGTACAGTATTTGAAAAATAATGTGTTTTTTGAACATTAAAACATGTCAACATATTCTGTTACACCAAATACACAAAATAATGATCTTTAAAAAAGCATCATATGACCCCTTTAAGTGTCTTGTGTCTGAAGCACAACCATGCTGATATACAGCCATATTGCACTGCTACTTGTGTGAAGATCTGGCCGAGGTAAATCTGCTCTTGGCAGATTCATGTGTGCTAAACAGCTGCTGATGCGCTGGAACTCACAAAAAGTCAAAGCTACTTTTCAAATAGACGTTATCTTTATTAACAAATTGCACATTTGAAGTCTAAACAGTACATTCTCACCTAAATAAAACTACATACCATGGCACAAAAACAGTATTATTTATAAAATTATAGTGGATTTGGGCATAGGTCATGTGAGAAATACCGCAAGCGGAGTGATATAAACGTTGGAACGGTTGGAGTTCTGTTATCTACGGTGACCGAGAAGTGCAGAGCAAATCACAATTCTGAAAACAAATTACAAACGCAAATGCAAGTCTAAAAAACTAAATAACAATTCAGAAAGCACAACAACAATTCAGAAAACATTATAACAAGTCAGAAAACACAATGAGAAATTCGAAAACAAAATAACAAGTCAGAAAACACAAAGACAAATTCGAAAACAAATTTACAAGTCAGAAAACACAATAACAAATCAGACAAACTGGAAGAGGTAGGTATAGTTTGATACTTTAATACCATCTCCGAACTTTCTACCGCGACTCTGCTGTTCTTCTGCTGGTTTTTCCTGTGTTCGTTGATTGACAGATGTCTCGTCCAGTCAGCGGTGAGTAATCCCAAACCAATTGCGCTGTCTCAAACTATACCTACCTCTTTCGGTTTGTCTGATTTGTCGTTGTGTTTTCTGATTTGTTAATTTGTTTTCGGATTTGTCTTTGTGTTTTCTGACTTGTTATTTTGTTTTCGAATTTGTCATTGTGTTTTCTGACTTGTTATAATGTTTTCTGAATTGTTGTTGTGCTTTCTGAATTGTTATTTAGTTTTTTAGACTTGCATTTGCGTTTGTAATTTGTTATTTTGTTTTCAGAATTGTGATTTGCTCTGCACTTCTCGGCCACCGTAGTTATCACTAGAATATTGCACTCCTCTTTGCCAATCAGATTCGAGGACCAGAAAGAACTGTTATACAATATAAACTGAAATAACTAAATTAAAAAATTTTTTAACTAATATCTTATTTACTATAAATGTATTTATACCATGTACGGGCCCAGGTGGTTTAAAAAAAATTGTCAAACATATAAGCAATGATCACACAGCTTGCATTCAAAATTGTGTAGGCCTACTAAACACGGGTAAACCCACTCTTTCTTCCGCAAAACACTTATTTTAGGCTTACCAGTTGACACGCAGTCATTATTGTTAAATCCTACTCCAATTATGTTTGTAATTCAAGCATTCCAGTCATTAAACCTGAGAAAAGATCTTACAAGTGAGTAAAGAAAATTAGGAAAATGCCATATACACAAGAAGTTGACTTTTTGCAAAAGGAAATTTTTATTTATAACCTATTCACACCACTAGGGGGAAGTACAGAGTCATAAGGTACTGTAAATATTTTTAGAGAACACATACTCCCTTTGTGTGCATATTTCGAGAATGTCCATGCCGCCCACGGCTGATGGGGGGGCCCCCGGCGATCTCAACCGACTGGCTGAGGCCAGCCTAAAAAGATGCTCAGGACAGTTGACGGGCCACTGCTGCGCATCGTCACGAAAGCTTATCATTTGCACGTGTTTTTAAGCCTTGCCAATTTAAACATTCAAAAGAGTTTAAAGCATTCAAACACAAGACGCGGAAAAACTCAACTGAGTAGGCATACTGGCGCGCCGTGTTCGTTGCGCACGCAGAGAGCCGCGTCTCACAGACAGCAACAACGAACCGAGCTCTCCTTCGTGTCCTCCTGCACCTGAACAAACAAATACAAATCGCAGTTTAAGCATGCAAACAGAAAAAGCCCAATTCAGCACCCGCGGTGTTCTGTGCACACAGGGCGCACGCAGAGAGACGCGTATCAAAGCGCTTGAACACCGAATTTGCATCTTCTTGCTCTTGTACCGATAAATACATACAACATTATGTCAAAATACCCGTCTTGGAGTGTATCCTCGAAAAAACTGTTGGTTATGTCTTAAGAGAAAGTAAACAGTGGAGAAAGAAATCGGATGTGTATCATGTTGTATTCTCTTAAAGTGACTCCAAGAAAATAAAAGAAAGAAAATCACTCACTGCTCTTGACTGAATTACTTTGTACCTTATTTAACAAGAATTAATCCACAGTCAAACCAAAAATTATTCAGACACCAGATATAATTTTTGATATTTTTTTACTAGTGGGTGCAGGACACTATAGTTCATTTATGTAAGTGAGTACAGCAAAATAAAGTGAACTGTGACATATTATACCCAAAAATTATTCATACAGTGGACTACCAGTAAAACTGATAA